CTTGACGCACTCAGCGAGCCTGAGCCACCGCCTCCACCGCCCTAAGCGCACGACGGACGCATGCCTGAGCTGGCAATTCGTTGGGAAGCTTGTCTTCAATCAGCTGTTCTGTTCTGTGTATCCTTCAGCCGGACCTGCAGCTACATTCAGCTTGTCTGTGAGACAAGAAATTGTTTGCCGCCGCCCGCCTTGCCCAGGCTCGGAAATTTGACCTTCTTTAAGAAGTCCGGCCACGAGGCCATTGCCATTGCCCTGGAATCTCAAGAAAAGACATCTGAAGGCTGAGCTGAGCCAGGGCTGCAGCATCACACCGTAGCAATTGTGACTTAGCAGCCTTAGCACACGTTTGACAACCTTTGCGTCCACACGAAATCGCCCTTCCAACTTCACAAAGCGCTGCGCCTGCCGCAGAATCTGCGCTGCAACGTTCACAAAGCGCTGCTGCCGCGAAATCTGCACTGCGCTTCAAAAAATGCTGCGCCTGCCGTGCAATCTGTGCTTCATCACCTGCGATATTCCCTCTATCTGAGCATCCGTTCTGCGCAGGATATCCACACAAGGCAATCTGGCAATCCTTCAAAGAGTGTAGAATGTAGACATTTCTGTAGACAAGGCTGGAGAGTAGTAGAGCTCTGGAGATGCTCAGAAAAGTAGAGACTTGTAGCGACATGTCAAGGCGACAGGTCTCAACCCCCACACCACATCATCACACAACGCATCATATTCACAGCATCATTTCATGTCTCTCTACCCCCGCCCCCTTTAAAATTATGCGCTGGAACTTATCCCAGTCGCGCGCGCCGTTGATTTCCGCTCTCAGCGCCCGACTCGTCCTTGAACTTGGTCTCGAAACCATGTACCGTCGTGGTATTGGTGACAATGCGTCCTGAACCTGCCGAGGTTCCTTCTTTTATGGCAAGCGCGATCATTCAAGCCCGGCCTGGAACTACTGGGACATCCGACCTCGCTGCTTCAGACCAAGCAAGGAATGCCAAAGGATGCAACATCTTTCTGGAAATGGTAGACTCGGCTTGAGAGATGTGGGGAGAAAGAACCAACTCCATATATAAAGTACACTGTACAGTTTCCAGTATGTATTCGTGTACTTTTGCTGTATCAGCATCAACGAACTCCAAGGCTTAGCTTTGCTCGTTGCTGTCTGAGACAATGACTCTGTGGCCGCAGCCCTGACCTGCCCTTCTGCGTCCACTGGCTCCTCATTTTCAACCTCCAAAAATGTTTGAGGTCGAAGACGAGCAAAAAAGAATTGCTCTTTCGCAGAAATTGAAAGAGTCCGCGCTTGAAGACCAGCAGGCTTAAGTTTGTAAATTACTTCCCTCTTGACACTCTCCCAGGACTGCTGCAACAAAGCCAGCCCTGACAGTCCAACGCAGTGACTACAATGAGCGAACTCCCTTTTCAACCCTGGAAATCAATACACAAGCGCGGGCTCATCCCTGAGGCCCAAAAGAGCAAAGCATCAGTGGTCTAGCCCTTGAGAGATTCAGCACTATCAGAGAGGTGAATGATTACCTAGCAACTGGTTAATCTCAAGTAAACCAGCCAAGTATCGGAACCCTTTGTCCCTGCTTACGGGCTCTTGTGCTCGCACCAGTGCCTACCGTGCCGTGTTGTTGTGTTCTTGGGCTGCTCCACCACGTCTTCCGTATTGCAAGTTCTTTGAGTTTCATCCAGATTGCATTCTAACCATGCCCTGCGGATGTACGAAACAAGAGGAAACGTTTTGTTTCTTACATCTATTGGTGCATTGTTCATCTACTAAGCTAAACCCAGCAGTGTGCTGTGCGTTGAAATATGGCTCATTGCCATCAATATGAGTTGTCACGCTGAACAATGTGTACTCTACTGATGTATCATGTAACATTTTTCTCAAGTAGAGACAATCGTAATACGTCAGCTTCAACACACATGTTAACACATGTGCATGCGCCAATGCGAAAATGATTACATCATTGCCTTGCGTGGCTTGTGCGGGAGTGTCAGCAGCCTCAAAGAATTTCTTGTTGTCTATAGTATTCAAGTAGCTCTATCACAAAATACAACGGCGTCTTTGAGCGGCATAAAAATGGGATGTGGGATAAATTGCAAAGCTAGGCTGCTTTCATGCGCAATATGGTCGACATGTAGTGACCATAGCCCAGTTGAGTAAACAAACCCAAAAAACGCAACTTCATGAGAGCGTTTGATATTGCTGCTAAAGGTCTAGCGTGGAAGGACTAGATATGACATAGTCTTGACCAAAGTGCATATCATGCCTGTTGTGCTGTGTTGACTATCTCAGGCACATCCAGTTTGGTAGTTTCCAGGTTAAGCTCTTAATTACAACTTGAAAATTACAGTACAGTAGTCTTCGTAGTTGTCCTAACGTTTTTGCGCTTGCATCCAACAGACCTCCAAACAATATATAGAGATACCTATTTGATAGGCTCTTCATGGGGTAGCTTAGGCCATGGCATTATAGGCTTGCGGCGCTCACTTGGAGAGGTCCTTCAACCAGTGATCGGCTTGTCCACGGACATTTCTTCAAGATCTTGTCTTGGGGCTATGGGTGGTCAAGGTTCCTTCTTGACTGCGCGCCTGCGGGCCCAAGGATTTTTCATTTACCAAACAGTGTGGTCACACTAGAGCCGGTTAAGCGTTAAGGCCGGGTGTTGTCTGATCGGAGGCACTCGCATTCGTGTACCGCATTTCGTTGCCATTTGCAATGCCTTTTTTCACCTCGAAATCTTCGAAGTGCATTTCAAATGCATGCTCGCAGAATCTGGTCGGCCTGAGCGGGCGCTGTCCTTGACTGCGTTCTCGTTGCGGCGCCGTTCGCATTTTCGGGCTTGGGGCCACTTTTCGTGGCGGGCGGCGCAGAAGGGAAGCTTCGTGTTTTGGTGGTCCATGTCGGCTTTTCGTGGCAGGCGCAGGAGATCGGAGCGGTTCGACTTCGATGCGCAGACTTCGTGGCAGGCGCAGCGCTTTGGGCATGGCGCTCTCCGGCGCGCTCTGATTTCGTGGCCGGTGCAGTGAGTCAGTCGCGACCTTTGGACATCTTTGGACATGTGGTTCGTTTTCAGAAATCGGAAGTCTCGAGCGAAAGCTACGTTTTGGCATCCGGATGTTGTCTTTGGAAGCGCTCTTGCCGCAAAAACTTACTTCCTGAATTTGCTCCTGCCTAGTTTAAAACCTTGCGCGCTCGTTCGCAGTAGATCAGGGGCGTGAGGCCGCCATGGGTCGAGCCCGTCCCATTGGGATACCATTTAGGCTTACTGATCGGCTTTAATTAGCCTGGCCGCCCAGTAGCAGCTAGACACGTTTGTTTCATTTGTCAGGATGCGTTGAACTAACAGTGCCACGCTGATCATCATGGAAAACAGAAACCACTCTTATCAAACCTCTGCTGGCAATTTATTCTCTCTAGCAGAATCAGGGGTTTTGATATCTTCAAGGTTCAGATTTCTGTTGTGGTTGCTAGGCTAGGTACTACTAAATCAATGCGTCAAGTACATGAGTGACCATACCAAGGGGTGAAGGAGGTAGTTGTACCTTGAAAAGGTCACGTGGCTACTTAATTCCTTGAAACTCGCAAGCCTTCAGGACAACTAGTTCGAGCTAGTTCAGCCAAGGTCCAATCTGTACACTCAGCCGCGGAAGTCACGGCGTACTAGGAAAAAAACTTGTGTTCCCCAATGTAAACGCGACGCCAAGAGGGGGGTCCCGGCATAGTCCTTGCGAAAACGTTGCCCCCGCATGTAAACGCGATGACTTGTGAATGTTTTTGGTGTGTTCTCCCCAACACAGTTCTCACGTATTCAACACAATGTTCCCGCATGTAAACGCAATCATTTGGAAATGTCACTTAGCCACGTCGTGCAAAAATGAGGTTCCCGCATGTAAACGTGATGATGTGGCAATGTTTTTGATGTGTTCAGAAGTTCCACCCGAAGCACAGTTTTCATGTATTCACAACAAGCTTCTGGCATGGAAACGCAATGATTTAGCAATGACGTTAATCTCCTTGTGGTCCCTTGGCATCTCTTTGGACCAGGCTCTGGACACTTTATTTGAATCACACAAGTTGCAGAGAGGTATCGGAACGAGAGGGTGAACGAGGTCAGAACCCCTGCCACCAAGGAAAGCCCAGCCTCTAGTTACCTCATCATGTATACGCTCTCGCCCGTGTCCTTCTTTCTTTCCTTCATTCCTTCTTTCTTGTCTCCCCGCTTGTCTGCTGTGATCGGTGTTTTGTCTGCCGCGGCTGCCTCGTCTCCTTACTTGTTTCCCCACCTGCCTCCCCACTCGTTTGCCTGCGTCGTTTTGTTTGCCGCTGCCTTGTCTTCGCCACAAAACGCAACATCGCCACGACTTCCATAGATTCAAATCCCCACGCAAACGCTTCAAAACTTGAATGTCGCCACGACTTCAACATTTGAGAGTACTAAGGTCTAGCGTTCATGCGTCAGTAGACTCAGTCTCTGAAGTTGTGCTCACTTGAACTGTATCCTAAGCGTGATTCGATGTGATTCGCAGCATCGTCCCACTGTGGCGCTCTTTGAGCACTGAGTTTATGCGCCGTACTCATTTTGCGCGATTAAAGGCTTCCTGCCATTTTGTTTGTAGTTCATGTCACACGTGCAAACGCATGGTTCTTGCGCGAGGCCTGGTCGTATTGAACTTTTACTCCTCCCATCATTGCAGGTCTTGGCATTCCACTTTTGAATTCGTTGCATCTTCGCCTGAGTCTTTTCATTGGATCCACGGCTCTCGTTCCAGCAGTCTTGCTGGGGACACCCGCCGCACTCCTTTCAGCTCTCCTACACCACCGCGCTGCTTCCTCTCAACGAACTGCCGCCGTCAGCGCATGTCCTCACCACAATCCCTGTCAGCAACTAAGCAATCTAGCAGGCAAGCAAACCGGCAAACAGGCTACCAGGCAATCCAGTCCACGCGCCAGCAAGCCAGTGAACAACCAGCTAAACAAAAGCTCAACGCATCACTGCTGGCGCGTTGCGCGTATTTTCGGCCCCATGTCCGTGCCCTCGCGCAGACGTCATCTCTTGCAGGCGCCAGCAGCGGCGGCAACGTTGGATTTGGAGCCCTCAAATTCACCGTGCTTTGCGTACTTTTGAGAATCAAAGACCAGAAGGAGTAAGATTTTTGGAATTTTCTGTGAAGTCTTACTTCTTACTTCCAGAAAGCTTTACACGTAATTCAAGATTGCCCGGAATTCTCTAAGTACACGAAGCAGTCTTTTCACTTCCCCAAAAAATGTGTTATCACTTCGAGGATCTCTAAGTAGGTTCTTCCCAAAGCAGTGTGTGTATACATAAACTTAATATATGGATATATATGGCATCACCCAAGTTCACCACAACGATGAGGCCCCTAAAATGCTAACAGATATACAAATGAGCTACGCAGTCAAAATTAATGACATCAGGGTTTGGCCAGTTTGTTTTGTTGTCGTTTTTCAGGCTCTATATGTTATCGTCTTTTTGGTGAGCATCTTATCGCTTCTCGGCCAAGGTTCCCACATCCATCTCTTAAATTACTTGTGTAGTCTTCCATAATTTCGACCGTGCCTCATATAGATACAACCTAACCTATACTTCCCGCAAGACAATCAAAATCCAGCCCTCAAACAAGCTCAGTTACTTTACTTCGAGTGATCCCCGCTGTAACATTTCAATCAATAGCTGCTAAGCCATGGTGAGGCCCATGTTGCCATGGTCGTGAGTCTTGTGGTTTTCGATTTTGCTTGTGGGCCCTCGGGTTTGGGACTGCTATTTTAGTGTTAGGGAGTTAGCGTCGGGGTGTCGCCAGGGTCTCCAGTTGGCATCCAAAAGTGCCTGCCACGCAAAGCGCCGTAGGTAAATATATTGTTGTAGTTTCATGTTTGTAGTTGTGTGTTTGTGGTTGTGTCTTTGTGGTTGTGTTTCAGTGTTGCGGCTGTGTGGTGTGGTTGTGCGCTGTGGTTACGCTGTGGTTGTGTGTTTGTGGTTGGGGGATGCGGTTGTGTTTGTGGTCGTGCATTTGGTTTGTGTGTTTGTGATTGTGCTTGTGGCTATGTGTTTGTGGTCGTGTGTTTGTGATTGTGCTTGTGGCTTGTGTGTTTGTAGTTGTGTGTTTGTGATTGTGCTTGTGGCTGTGTGTCTCTGATTGTGTTTCTCACTGGCTTGTCTTTTTGTGGTGGTGCTTTGTGTTTGTGTATTGTTTCTTGTGTGCTTGGGGTTATGTTGTGGTTGTGTGTTGTGTGTTTAGGAGTCTGGCCACTTCGATCTGGCACTTGCGGTTGAGGTCCGGTAGCGCCCACTGCGATCTGGCGCTTGCTAGTGCCCACTGCGATCTCGCTGGCCGTTGAGGTCCAGTAGTGCCCACTGCGATCTCTCACACTTGCAGTTGAGGTGGAGGAGAGGAGGAGATAAGAGTTACAAAAACTAACAACCCTCACCTGGCAGGCGGGAAAACAATAATATAACTACAATCTTAAGAAACCATCAAAGGAACCAACTAGGAGCAAGTAGCTACTAGGAGCAAAGGGCATCGCTACTAGGAGCAAGGACGCTACTATAGGGGCTCCTGGCCGTACTACTAGGAGCAAGGACGCTACTAGTAACCAGGACGCTACTAGTAACATCAAACTTCCAACTCTTCAGGGGCCTTGGTCCGTCGCTTCTTCTTCTCCTTTCCACCTTCGCCTTTGAAGCTCAAGGCCGTCCGCTTCACACCTGCTAAAGGCCGCTCTAAACGAGTCTGTTTCACACGGTCCGTCAAGGACTTTCGTTAGAACTAGGTGTAACGCATAGTTGTCTCAAAAGCTTCTTTGTGGCTTCATGTTGGTTGCGCCTGTGAACACAAACGAGCCACGCCGAATCGGAAGAAGTTTTGGTCATGGCAATTTGCTCACCAATGTGTGCAAACAGGTCAATCGGGTCCTCTCCAGCTTGAATGCAAAGTATGAAGCAGGTTTGAACGCTCAAATGATAGCGAAGTTTAGATGCTTAGAGATAGCTGGGCAGCTGGCATGTCAGCATCAAACACATTCATTGCTGACTAAGACAGACTAGTCTTCGTCCACTCTGGATTCTGGGACTTCGTAGGTAACTACTTCTAACGCGAAGGAACAACCTTCACGGAGCCCTTTGTTTAGGTTTTTGATTCGCTGCCATTGGCGCTTGGACCTGCAAAGCTGGATGACGACATGATGAGCTACGTGAGTGGCTGAGGGGCTCCACGGATGTGTTTCAGAACTTTGACATACTATATGTATGTATAGATTTGCACATATGCTGTCACATGCTTTTTGCAAGGACACACTCATTTCGTCCGTGCAGTGTAGCTCTTCTATGCTCTTCTATACTCCTCAAGAATCTGTTTCTAAGTGTCATTCAAATGTCCTAATCCAATTGCAAAGTTGCATATCATTTGCATTTACAGGTCTTGATGTGATGGATGTTGTGATGTTGGTGAGAAGATTCTCAAGAGGTCCTAGCCTGAAATGGCTGATCCGGAAGTATTCTTTGCTTCGATTGGTCGAGCCAAAAGTCGCCACGCAGGCATGAACAAGAACATCAAAACTTTCAAACTTCTGTTGTGGCTTGCAAAGTTTTCGTAGGAATCAACCCGCTCTACCCTGCTCTGCTCATGAAACAATGAAACACGGGATCCTCACCCAAACAAGCTTGTCTCTGAGCTTGCCTGCAGTCGTCTAAGCAAGTCCATCCTTTGCTGGCACTCTCATATTACTTATTTGTCTCCGTTCATTGGGTGATTTCCATGATAATTATATACCTGCAGCTTCGTTCTTCAAGAAATCACCCTGGGCAAATCGGCGGGACAGCGACACATGCTGCTTTCCAGCTTCATTGGCTCAACAAACACACTCCTTCGACACTCACACTCTAATGTCCATACATCATGACTTTAAGAGATCCAGCAGCTGTGGAAGTCGAGGGTGTTGCACAACTCTCAGGTCATAAAGGCGGTGGCATCGACTGGAGGTTCTGCTTTGCCCTGGCAAGCTTAACAAACAGCAACTAACAACATCAAAAATCGCGCATAATCATTGACATGGATGAATTTCACCGTCAAACCCTCTCAACCAGTGGAAAGGATCTAAGCCTCAAATCAAAGATTTCCAAGTCGTCAATTGCGCAATCGAGTGAAACTTCCAGGAGCGATCTCCTGTTCCCTCAGATAGGCATCGCCCCCGCCTGGGTGGACCAGAACTTGAGAGTCCGATCAAATGCCACGGAACCGATGTAGTGGTGACCTCAGAACCCCGCAAGTGAGACACGAGAAGGCTTATTACATGGGAGAAGGAGTTTCCAGATTGGGAGCTAGATTCGGTTTATCTTGATGAAAATACAAAAGCACTTAGCATATCCCTACCCATTCTGTGGGGGGACCTGAACAATTGTAACTTACATTTTCCCCTAACATAGACCTAACAAAATGTAAGTTACATTTGTTAGGCAAGCCACAAAAAATGTAAATACTTTAAGTTACATTTTTCAATACAAAAATGTAACTAAATAGGGGATCGTGTAAGTTACATTTTTCAGGCCTTTTCCAGGGAAAATGTAACTTGCATTAAGTCACATGTCAGGCTGTTTGTGTGAGGCTGTTTGTCCATTATATCCCGGGTCATAGTGGAACATACATGGGCCTGACTCCCAGAACAAAATGTAACTTAGGTGTGTCCAGGCCTGGGATATGTGCAATTTCACCTGGTATGTGATGTGTGAAGTTGGGTTTGGTTACATTTAAGTGCACCTCTCTTTGTGTGGGACTGTGGTTCCACTGGAGTTCAAGCGGAGTCTTTTCCAAAAGCCATGGCCGAAGGTTGAAAGGTCTTCGATGGAACTACGGCCCCTGTGGTTTTGGGCCCATGTCAAAGGATGAATTGGAATCAACCATGGGTTGAATGCCGACGTCAGTTTCACAGTCCCCACTGCACTTTCGTCAGCCCATCGGCTGGCATTGCCAGGTGGTGAACCCATCGGATGGATCCATCGACCTCTCTGAGATCCTGGCGCGCAATCTGAACTTCTATGGCCGTGCGGCGGTCTTGACCCTCTAGGGTGTCTTTGGACAAGTAATCGTAGAGCGATTTCGCATCTACGACCGCCAAGGCCTCTTTCAAAGCCCCCTCAGTCCTCTCAGAACTCATCACCGTGAGCTCCTTCGCCTCGAGCCGCTTGCGCCAGTCCTTCACATTGAACTTGCCGTCCTGGATCTCCTGCATGAGGACCATCACCCACATCAATTCGGCCAATCCCCTCGACAAACTCTGGTTCTCAGCCGCCAACGTAGAGTTGACCGCCCGTTGAAGCTTGCCACTCCGCCATGCCACTATGTTGGTAGTGGCGGACAGGCCGTCTCGGAGGCCGCTCTCGTGGGCGATCACCAGGCGCCCTCCTTGCGAGTGGAACCCATTGTTTGCGAAGGAAGGGTCTGTGATCACGCTCATTCTCATCTTCTTCAATGGCTGGATCTGTAGGCTCAAGGTGGCCTTTTGTTTCAGCTCTGCCACTGCCTGGTTGAGCTGAATGATGTCCTCCACGACCAGCTTGGAGAGCTTCGAAGCCATCAAGCTTGAGGGCCCGGCAGCGTCTGGCCTTCCTTCACGACTGAGCCAGTTGAGGGCCCCGAATGTTGCCCTTGCCACGCTGACCTCGGTCTCACTGGCTGAAGCTTTCCTGTCCCCTTTTTCGACCCTTCTCTAAAGGCACGGGGTGAAGACGTTCTTCTACGAACTTCTGCGTGTCGATGAGGAAGCCACCATTAAGAGCTGCCTGATTCGCCTCCCGTTGAAGGCGCATCCATCTTTCTCTTGCTGGAGCTGAACGTACTTGCCAAAGGTGTACTTCTGGCGGAGTCGGTCCATCTGTCGGTGGTGTTCTTCATGGCCGACCGTGAAAAGGTCATCGACCTCGATGGCGATCGCTCCTAACAACTTCCTGCGGTCCCGGTCATAGAGCTTCATGATGCAAGGGTCTAAAGCCGACATCTCATATCCCAGACCTTGCAGGTCTTGCGTGAGGGACTTCCTCCAGTGAAGCGGCGCATCAACCAGGCCGTAACATCCAGCGATGATCAACACAATCTGCTCCGGGTGGATGCCAATAACTCCTTCCTTGGGCAGCTCGAAATACAATTTTCCATTGGGCCTGTTCAAAGGTTGGCTCTGACAGAAGGCGTTCTTCAAGTCGCCCACTGTCGCCCGCGTGCCCTCATTTGCCGCCACTTGCAGCAGCACCGTGTTCAGCGTCGGTGAAAACCTCTCGAGATCCAGTATGTCAGGGTCCAGGCCTCCTCGAACGCAAAGCCTGGACTTCTTCGTAGGAGCTTCACTCGGCTGTTCTCCTGGCTTGTACCTTCTTGCAATCTTAGTCGGGAGAATGCGGTCTTCCTGTCCTTGCTCCCGTAGCTCCTTTCTCACACGCCTGGAGGTGTCCAAATCAAGCACTTGAACAGCTCCACTGTTGGTCACCTTGTTCCATTCTGCCAGGTCTGACTGTTTGCATTCTTCCTGATCTGCTGGACTCTCTTTGGCCACATTGACTTCGTCCCAGTTTCTTGTCCTCTTGTCTTCATCTTCACAGTTCTTCTTGCCTCCAGGTGCTCGGCAGGGAATGGCAGCTCAGACGTGAATCGCGGATCGTAGTGGGCTTTCCTTTTTCGAAGGTGATGCCTTCTCACCTCTCCTTCTTGTAGTCGACATTCCCAGTAGTCCCGGTCCGCCTTCTTTTGGTTGAAATTGGCAATGGCCTGAAGTCTCTTCTGGTCCACTTCTTCATCAGCTTCATCCGCCATGTACGGAGCCAAATGGTCGTGTCGCCCATTCCTCTGTTGCCATCGGTAGATAGGTCCCAAATGGCTGCCTGGGCACATCATCTAGCCAATCTGCTTGGGCGATTGAGTCCCTCATAGCCTGTCGTGTGACTGGATCTGGATGCTCTCCTGGAAGTGGCGGTCCTTCTGGTCGAGGTGGAGTTTCCGTCACCCCTTCAGGGAAAGCTGGATTGAACAATTCGTTTTGCTCCTTCTCTTCTGGGTCGGAGGAAGGTACTTCTTCTTGTTCTGGCTCAATCATCGACCTTCTCCTTTTTGGAGGTTCTTCTGGTTCCTGGTCGATCATGCCCTCCGGGTACTCCGGCTCATAGTCGGCCATCTCACGTGGTTCCAATTGAAACCCGACGCGTCTCCTTTGGTCTTCGGGTCGAAGCCGCTCTTCTCCTTCATCTTCAGCCTCTGGAGGGAATTCTTCTTGGGTAATGTCCTTGTAGCCAGCACGGTGTGATCCGTGCCGGAATTCCTCAACAAGCTCCCGGCACTTGTTCAGCACCACCTCGATGCCAGTGCGTTCATCCGTAGTATCCGGTCGACATTGTTCTCGGGCCACTTTCCAAAGCTCTCCCAACATGGCCACACACAGATTGGCTCCATCCGGAGTGATCACGATGCCCGGACCAATCCACCGAGCCTTGGTGGATAGATCAGCTTCTTCTGGAGGGGCTCCGTGTTTTCTCTTCTTCACCTTGGGCGTCCGGAACACGTACGCGTACTCCCCCGGTTTGTAGTCCGTCCACACCCTTGGTCTGGACCTCAAAGCCTTCTTGTAGGTGGACTTGGCGTTGTGCTCACAAAAGGCTTTACGCGCAATCCTGTGCATGCATTGGTGCAACTTTTCGATGTCATCGGTGATCACTCCTTCCAGCAAAGTAGGGTCGATCACCTCATCGGACATTATGGAGGTTGGCAGCGTCGGCCATTGGCAAATTTTCTTTGAAGCGGTGCAAAGCCCGACCGGTTTGAGTACCGGTTCTTCGCCATCTCCACCTCCGCCATGAGCCTCTGTAGATCTCGGAGGTCCTGAACTACCACCTCGCTCCGGGCTTTGTCCAGCAGCTCCTTGAAGTGTCCTCGTCGTTCCGTTTTCCCTTGTTGCCAGGGCGCCTTGGAGCCGATCTGATGCGCCACGATGCCTTCGTCCGATGCCCGATTGATGAACTCCCCGAGGAACTCCCGTCCAGCGTCACAAGTGATCACCTCGGGGTGGCCAAATGTTCGTGCCCATGTGGACACGCAGGCATCCCACACTTCGCCGGGGTTCTTACCCTCCAAGACCTGACACATCTGGAAGTTGGTTCCCCAATCCAGCATGTTCAGTACCGGAGTTGTTTGCTTGCCACTGCCGGGCGCTGGCGCGTAGAACAGATCTATGCCAAGGACTTGGCTAGGTTGGTAGGCTCGTGGCAAGGCGGTAGGTCTTGGGATTTTCGGATGAGCTTTGGCTTCGCACACATCACATCTGAAGCTTTTTGAAGCCCATCGTACAACTTCTCCTCGGACTCGAGCGGCTCTCAGAAAGCGGATGAATTCCTGCTTCTGTGGGTGCCCCACCGAGCGATGAACCTTCATGATGGCTCGCTTCTCGGCTTTATTTGGTTCGTAGAGTCCTGGGCCCTCCCCGCTTTCTTCTTCCTCGTCCATGACATAGGTGGTCTGGTTCTTCTTGAGGAAGGCCATGATGCCCTTGGCCACTGCTTCGCACAGTAGCTCTGGGTATACTTGCGCTAGTCTGGGTCTTCCATTTTGCAGAGGGACGCGTTGATGGCTCTGATCGCATCTTTTGTCCAGAGCTTGCAGCACCTCCGGAATGTTGGAGAGCCATCTGGTCCTTTTCCGATTCAGGCCTGCGCCGTCTACGTTGAGCCCAAACGTGCACTGATCGCACACCACGGACTTGACGTCGGTGCGGTTGGCCACTTGTTGAAGGTGAGGCTCCTGCCATGCCATGAGGTGGCTCCATCTGGATGTTCAAATAGGACTGCTCCTCCCCGGTTCAGTTGCCATTTGATCACAGCAGTCGCCAAGTGAAGATGCTCTCGGCCGGTACGAAGGAGCTGGATTTTCTTTTCGGGGTTCATACGCCCCCAGTTGATCTCTTGCATCCGGCTGAATGCAGTGCATGGTGGCGACACGAGCAGAACCTCTGGCTTCTCTTCTCGCAAGACCTTTTCTGATCTTCTTGAGCCAAGTCCCATCTGGTGAGGAGGTCAAAGCTGGTGCCCACCTCCAAGCCCTTCTTCTTCAGGTGGTTGGAGATGCGAGGTGGGCTGTAGAGTTCTCCGACAGCCACTGGTCGGAGTTTGGCTTCTGCCTTCTTCATCGCCTTCTCTATCAGCTGTCTTTCCTTCCGGCTGAGCTGCCGATTGCGGTCGTCTCCCCAATCCATCTCATGTTCTCCTCTTCGATCGGGCTTGACGATCACATAGATCTCCGATGCCTCCTTTGGGATTGGCCCTGTGCGTTCTTTCCAGTGCTCTCCTTCTTGGATCCAGTACTGCTCGTCGATGGTATAGAAGGTCGTGAGGGTGCACGACACCCATCTCATAGTCCGGTGGCTGGCGTCGGCGCACTTCACCCAAGACTCGCCATCCTTCAGCCGTCGAACTCCTCGTCGTCCACATTGATCACCTGGTTCCGGTCGTGACTGGTTACACTCACCCTCAACCACCTCTGGCACACTGGTAAGCTCGCCGTCCCCATTGGCGTATGACCGGAAACCATCGCTGAGGCCTCCCTCTTTGGACTTTTCGACAGCCTTGGGTTCAGAGATGAAGCCGCCGTCTTCGCCTCCTCGATGTCCGCCTGGTCCTTCTCGTCGATCCATTCTGAACTCGCATTTCCTTTGCGCGCACTTCCAAAACATGCGTCCCTTCCGGGCCCCTCCTTCTTGACGATGAGCGCATGGGTGGCATTGAACTGAGCTGGATGTTGGATGCCGCCTGCTCGTTCTTCAGCTGTTGAAGGAGGATGCCCATGTGGGTGCCCATCTCTGCCCGCAGCTCCTCCTTGACTGGGTCCATCTTCGTCTCCCCACTTGGACTGGAGAAAGGCGACTCCATCACCATGCGACCCTCGCTTCTCGTCAGGGTCATTACTGGGTTGCAGCCAAGGCGCTTGGAGTCGACGGGGCTGGATGCTCCACCTTCTTGCCCGTCTTGGTGCTCAAGGGGCCGCTCTTCAACATCATGTGTACTTCTGCTGACCTTTCTGAGTGGGCCCCACGCTTTGCGCACGATGTAGGAGCTGGAGCCGTTTCCACCACCCTTCAGACTGCTCTTGGGGTGAATGCAGGCACTTGCGGAAGCGGTCGGTGTAGTCTTGCTCTGCAATGGCTTCAGCGGAGGGGCCCTCCGCATAGTAGTCCTCGATAGTTTGCATGGACTTCCGACCCGACCGCGGCAAGACCAGCTCCAAGCACCAGGCCTCTGTGGCGTCTTGCAAAGCCGCCAAAACCAAAAGCATTCCGATCTTGTCCATGATCACGCGCCAATTTCTCAGCGGCGCTTTGGGGTTGTGCGCGCGACGCCCGACCTCCATGCATGGGAACTGGGTCCACGGTTGGAGTTGCCCCCACCAGTGCTTTTGCCTTCTGCAGCAGCGACGCCATGAGTAGCTGGTGGGGTAACGGCGTCTGTGGGCTGAGCGAATTGAGCGTTGCCGTCAAATTGAGCCGGCGTTGCTGCCAAATAGCATGAACCATTCATCTCAAACTCCTGAGGTTCCCCCGCTTCCGGGGGAGCCACGAACTTGCCGTCGGCGAACGATAGGATGTTGATAGCGACATGACCACTGGGTAGTTGGGACATAGGAATATTGCATTTGTGAGTGCATGACCATGTACTTCATGTCGATGAGAACTTCTAAAGCGGTCAACAAACGAACTGGTAGAAGGAGCGGAACATCACCCTGTACGACCGTGGTTTCAAGGACACCATTCACCCCACCAATGCCCAGGGGAATAAGTGCCACGCCCACAACCACTCGACCCCCTTGGCCGAGGTTTGTTTGGGAACCCACTTGATGCAAAGCCCCCGCATCGAAAGTTCCTGTTCTAGCCGTTGGAGGGGTCCTCTACCGACTAATCCACCTTCAGCTGCCGTGTCCACAATGCCCTCAAACGATGTGGTGATGCCACAAAAAGGAACCTCTCCCTCCGATGCCGCGTGTGCCCGCTCCATGTATGGCTTCTCGGATTCAGTGGCTCCTGATGGTCCCGGCGACCTCGATTGGGCACGGCGATCTTTCATGATTTGGCGCAGCCAGTACTGTTCTGGTGCACCGGAGAAATCTTTGACTCTCAGGGTGATGTCCAACGAAGAAGGTCCGATTGTCATCTCGACTGGGGCGTGGTGCTGCTGCATTCTGACATTCTCTCTCCCAGTGTCCGATCTGTTGACAACGACGGCGCCGGGTCCTCAGCTTGAGTTGCTCGATGTGAACTTTGCGCTTGCCCTTGTCTTTCCCTTTCTGAAAAGGGCTAAGCTTCCCTTTCCTTTTCCACCAGGGAAGTAGCCCCTGCTCAAGCGCTGATCTTTCAAAGCCTGCCGGGTGTCCTGGTAGGCCGCGAGGGCGGCCATAACATCTTGCTCGTCCATGATCTCGTCCAAGTCCCCCTCGGCCAAAAAGAGGTACTGCTCATCGTCCAAGTCCTCCCAACCCGTGTAGGGGGCATTCTCCGGGTCATAGTTGTCACCGGCCGTATCCTCACAGCGACAAAGGACTCTACCGTGATGTAGTTCCCCAGTTCCCCTTGGCCTTCTCGCGGATGACCTTGTCCGAATTGCCACAGGCTCACCTGCTTCTCGAAAGCGCGGAAGGTCAACTCCGGGTTCTCGCCGTCATAGCCAGGTGGAGGATCCGTGTCTCGTCCTCCACCAAAGTCTGGTCCTCGTCCTCGGGTCTCCTGTCTGGCAGAAGCGTATTCTCGCGCCCAGCCCGCCCCTGGATTGCCGCTCAGGGCTCCGCGGTACCACTGTGGGACTGTGGTTCCACTGGAGTTCAAGCGGAGTCTTTTTCCCAAAAGCCATGGCCGAAGGTTGAATGGTCTTCGATGGAACTACGGCCCCTGTGGTTTTGGGCCCATGTCAAAGGATGAATTGGAATCAACCATGCTTCGAATGCCGACGTCAGTTTCACACTTTACTAGGTTGGTTGTGTTTTGGGGTGTGTGAGGCTGTTTGTCCTTTGTGTCGTGGGTCATAGTGGAACATATTTGGACCTGACTCCAAGAACAAAATGTGACTTAGGTGTGCGCAGGCCTTGGATGTGTGCATTTTCACAAGCCTGTCCACGTGGTGTGTGCTTTGGTTGTCTTGTTCTGTTTTGGTGTTGTGTGAAGATACATGTCATTTATTAGTTGGGTCATGTTGGCACACTGAACAAAATGTAACTTAGGTGTGTCCAGGCCTGGGATATGTGCAATTTCACCTGATATGTGATGTGTGAAGTTGGTCTTGGTTACATTTATGCCTACCTTTCTTTGGTGGGTTTGTTGTGTTTTGGATTGTTTTGGTGTTGTGTGGTGCTGTTTGTCCTTTATCTCCTTGCTCGTGCTCGGTCCCAAGCCCTCTGCGGCAGGCCTTTGCTAGCTTTTTTCATTGGGTTTCGAACCACCCTGTCAGGACTATTTTGGTGGTTTTCGGTGTGCGATTAGCTGTGGAAGGCTGTGGCGAGGCAGATTGCCGGGAGCCTTGGGAGGAAATCTTTGGGGTCAGGTTTGCGCTGAGCATTCTTGCCCGTGCTCGGCCTCATGCCCTCTGCGGCGCGGGGATACCCCGTGTCGACCCCCGCCCGAATCCGCCCGACAAATTTATATGTATCTTGCGCTGGATGTTCGAAAAATGTTCAAAAACATCGTTTTTTACAGTGTTTCGTGGCCTTCGGCGTCCACGACAGGGTGCCCGTGGTGTCAGTTATGCGTGGCGCGCGGACAGGCTTAATCGACATTTCGTGGTGTTGGGACATAAGTTGCCTCACATTTCCCCAACATAAGCCCAAGATAGCCAACATATGCCCAACACAGCCTCCAAGATGGCTCAACATAGGGCCAAC